GCTCTTTCACCAATATGAGCAGGAAAACGATATTGGCGATTTTTGCCTTCTAACCCCTCCTATCAGCTATTATCAGTCGTTATCAATTTCTGGCACTCTCCAACAATGTCCCCGTCCACCCCACATAACACTTGTAAGTATGGTTGCTCTGGTGTCAACGCGAGCCAGGTAACGGAATCGACGACTTTTGCGTTCTGACGCGCCTTATCAGCCCTTATCAGTTGTATCACTTTCTCACCCACCAACAATGTCCCCGTCCCACCCCACATAACACTTGTAAGTATGGTTGCTCTGGTGTCAACGCGAGCCAGGTAACGGAATCGACGACTTTTGCGTTCTGCGCATCTTATCAGCCCTTATCAGTTGCTATCGCTTTCCAATCATGTACCACCAATGTCCCGGGACCACCCCACATAACACTTGTAAGTATAGACGCTCTAGTACCAATATGAACGACAAAACGAAATTGGCGATGCTCGCTTTCTAGCCCCTCTTATCAGCTATTATCAGTCGTTATCAGTTCCTATCACGTACCACTTGTGTCCCCATCCCACCCCCTATAACATATGTAAGAACCACTGCGCTATCGTTACTGTGACTCGAGCTATGAATTTCCGGTCAAACACACACACACACCAACAGACACACGCTAGCCGCTTATATATAGTAGGATAAACCGCTTCATCTGCCTGTCTTTCTGTTACGGAAAGCAGTAGTACTGCATGAGTACCTGGAGAGGGAAAGTTGACGGAATGGGCGAGATGTACGAAATACGCACGGACTGAGCGCATAGTCTGTCCTCCTTTGCCACTTAGCTACGCCTCTGCAGCTTCTAATTTTGTGAATGGTACTTGGGGTTACGACCTCCCCTAATTCCACTGGCCAAATACGGCCCCCTCGTTGTTATTTGCGCAACAGGCGGTTGACCCTGCCCGAAAGGCTTGGAAACTTTTCTGAACCTTCTTTGAAAGTCGTTTGCGAGCGTTGCCTTGATAAAGCAAACTTTGCAATGTTTTCCAGGCTAAGCGGCGGCAAACCCATCCATTTGGCCATATTACTGTTCAACAATGACAGTGCAGTTTGTTGGTAGGAGCTGTCAGTGAACAAATCGCATGCCGGAGCTGGAATCCTTGGGCGGATCACTGGCGCTTCCGGGTGTGGTTTACGTGAGAGACCTTTCTCTTGTTACCACCAATAAAGCAGTCGGGATAAAGGAAGCAGTCACGCTGGCTTCCACGCTGGATTTGCTACCCTCGCGTTATCAATCGATAAGGTGTGAGGCAGTAATTGTTGGACGAGTGTAAGCCCATGGAAGATATGATACGATGAGATAAGAAGGTGCGGCTGCTTGATAAGAGGTGCACTCCAGAATGAAAACGGGACGATAACGATAACGGTATCATATCTAGCACGCTCTTATCGCACCCCTTTCCACATCGATAAGTCTTGGTTTTGCTGAACTTGAGTGAATTTCGGCTCCTTATCACTTCATTGATAAGGCCACTGCCACTGAAACTTTACGTGTTCTAACATTGGGCAGGACCTCTATCCACTCCAATACATAGCTTTCCTTATCGTTGCCATGAAAATTATCGTGACTGCTTCCTTTAAACAGAAACGGACGTAGATCAAAAGTTTATGTCAAAATCTAAGCTTTGACGGTGTTGTCACCCTAAGCAACATCAATCTCCCCATTCGTCTAAACTCAGTTCTTTTTTGTTTCTAACGCTCACTTTAAACATGAGCGAGACTACAAAATATGCCTTTCTAACAAGGTCAACAAAGGTTAGTGTCTGGCTTTTCGAGAAAATCACACTTTCGTGCATTTTTGGGGGTTTTGCCGCGCACTCGCTTCATTTTCATTTCTGAGGGTCACTTCTTGCATGGGAAGTACAAGCAGAGTCAACCCTGCGTTGCGCAGTTTTCAACGGCCACGTTGCGCAGTTTCGCCCGATTAGACACGTTCTCTCGCGCGAACATTCACACTCGCATGCTCGAGCCGTCTGTGTCTCCGCCCATACAGCGTGCGTTGAGGATCTCTCAACGTGCCGTTGCGAACTGCGCAACGCAGCAGAGTCAACCCTGCGTTGCGCAGTTCTCAACGGCCACGTTGCGCAGTTTCGCCCGATTAGACACGTTCTCTCGCGCGAACATTCACACTCGCATGCTCGAGCCGTCTGCGTCTCCGCCCATACAGCGTGCGTTGAGGATCTCTCAACGTGCCGTTGCGAACTGCGCAACGCAGGGTTGACTCTGGTACAAGATTTGCTCTTCCTAACAAGCGCTGAAACGTTTCTCATAGTTGACTTTTTGAGAAAATCACACGTTCGAACATTTTCCCCCCTCCCCCCATAGGTTTTTTGAGCAGCACATCGAGTTTTTGAGCTTTCAGCAATAATAACTTCCTTCAAAAAGCATTGTTGGGGAGGGGCAAAGACATTTTTGAAGACTACGAGATTTCTGCCTGAAGAAAATTATTTTCAGCCCCAAGAATCAATCCTTTCATATAAAACTGTCTCTCTGTGCATAATAAATCGAATCTAATGCGGTCTGCACAAGCAAGTCTTGCCCTCGGATACGCCACGCACGCGCCTGTGGCTGGCATTTGGAAGTCTATTTCATCTTGCTATGACTTGCTCAGTTTTTGGCACTGCTACCACGCTCTGATGCGACGAAGCGAGCTCTCCCTAAAGCTTTGCTGAAGACAGAAGATTTTTTTACGATGTATAGTAATTCACGCGGAGAAACACTTCAGAACGAAACGGGCGAGCCTGGAAATTCTTTGTAAGCGTTCCTCCCCAGTCCTTCATCCACCGATCAACTACCGTCGCGATTTCGGTTGCGGGTCCTTGAAATTGCGACCCCTCCCTCGGCCCATGACCAAAATGCGACCCCTCGTTCGAATAGTGCGAACGAACGGTTGATCCTGCCTGGACCCCCTTGATTAGATCACATCTTTCTGATAGGAGTTTAAAGGCAAAGGTCGGGATTAGTTGACCAAACCAACCCTTTCGGTCATGCCTGTACTTGGTTACGCACCCGTAGAGATGTTCCCACACTCAAAATCCCGAAACGGCGCAGTAATAAGGCCCCAGGGCATGTACTATGCGCTATCGCCGCCTGGCCCCGCTACGACCGCCCACCTCGGGATGTGGTGCATGGCTGGCATAACGTGTGAAATCAGCTAGGTTGATTGCCGTATCAACCGATAGAACGACTGATATCTTCAGAAAACTTGTTTGTACGTGCCTCTTTCCCCAAGCCAGCCTCCTTCATTGCAAGTTTCTCCACTGTCGTTCTACTTCGCATCTCTATACTCAGTTTCAATCGCCATAATACCCCCTTATTGAGCCCGACTTTTGCCTTTAAATAAGGTGACCCACTACACATTCGTGGCAAATTTTGAGAATCAATCCGGAGTTTCTAAGGATTTGGTGTGCGTCTACCAATCAAATCGATTTTGTTACGATAACTGGAAGCCTACTCTTAGATCGCTTTGCTTATTTTACGTTCTACGCTCTTCTCTTTGTGAACAGCTCAGCGCTATCGCCAGGTACGGTGAATTATGGTGGCAATGTATCTCAAACCGCATAAAAATCTCCTTTTCATCAAAAACGGGAGTGAGCTTTAGAGCAAGGGGGAAGAGAGACTCTAAGATGCGCAAGAAATTGTTTGTTTGTTTCCGGTATGAAATGTTTATGTTTCCGCTAAGTTATCGTTTTCCCGAAGTTCAGCCCTTACCTAGGCTTAGTCCGGAGGATGCTCCCTACCTGCCCAGCCAGCAGCAATGGAATGATAGTTAAAGGCAAAAGTCGGGCTCAATAAGGGGGTATTATGGCGATTGAAACTGAGTATAGAGATGCGAAGTGGAACGACAGTGGAGAAAAAACTGAGAAAAACCGTCGACAAGGCCGTTAACAAAACCCTCTTTCCCACTAGCAGTGAAGGAGGCTGGCTTGGGAAAGAGGCACGTACAAACAAGTTTTCTGGAGATGTCAGTCGTTCTATCGGTTGATACGGCAATCAACCTAGCTGATTTCACACGTTATGCCAGCCACGCACCACTCCCGAGGTGGGCGGTCGTAGCGGGGCCAGGCGGCGATAGCGCTTAATACGTGCCCTGGGGCCTTATTACGGCGCCGTTTGGGATTCTGAGCATGGTAACGTCTCTGTGGGTGCGTAGCCATGCACAAAGACGACAAAAGGGATTGGT